CCAAGAATCTTAAGACCATAAGTGAAGTCTAAAGTCTGTCTCTCTTTGACCGCATAGCCTTAAGAGATTTTTAAATCTGAAATTCCTATATGACCAATGTAGGAAAGAAAAAATTTCTTAAAAAAACTACAATACACCCGTTGTTATCCACATGTACACTCAACTGTTTCCTGAATTCTCCTAGTTTCCTCAATTCTCCTAGTTTCCTCCAGGATTGGGCTACAATACTCCAACTAAAAACAAAAGCTGTTCTGCTCCTAAAGCCCTATATTCAAATTTTCAGAAACAAGTTTCATGCCTGATATATGAGCCACACAACAATATCATGACCAGGGACATTCAAACATAATCAGGAGAAGCTGACGTTTTTGTGAAAGCAGTAGACAGCTTTTCCTATGACAGTAGAACCACATCATAGTAAGACTTTTACCCCCACTTAATGCTACTTTTTTCACTTGACAGAATAATGGTGTAATTGAAATTTCATAATCAATAGCTTCTGCTAGTAACTTAACAGAATCTAACTCAAGAAATCCTTTAGTATCCATTGGTCAAAAAAGAAAGTATCTGTGCTATTGCTAGTACTATATACTGTACCTACATAAATACCTCTGATAAAGTTCAGACCCATGTATATAAAATAAGAAAACAGGTCACATGATTATAAAAGATCTCACCTAATTCCCTACAGTCACTGATCTATTCAATTAGTTGTCTTTAGGTTCATGGCTAGGTTCAAGCCTAGGTTCATGGCTCAAAACCATTATGCAAATTGGAATTGTCATATTAACTACTAACTTTGTATCGGTTATTTGTTAAATGTCTGTAGAAGTATCACACCTAACAATAATGCTGGCGCAGCATTTTGAGATAACAAAAGACTATGCAACAGACAAAAATCAAACTTAATAATGGAATCCAGGTAGACACAGCCTGAGAGTCATTCCCTTCAAATGTCCCTTCTTGCTCAACTGTGGCTTAAAAGAGTTTTGACACGGACTCCTAGTCACTAATCATTTTCCCCAACATGGGATGAGACTAGCAACCAGGATAAGTCTATCCTGGTATTATGGGATGTCAAAACCCAACTACATGATGACTGATCAGATAAAAGATATTGATCAAAAGAGAAAAACATGAAAGTTGTTAAAATAAAAATGGAGTCACTAATGTTAAGAAAACCCTGACAAACAGAGTTGAGGAAGTCCATGAAGAGAAGGTTCTCAGGCTTCTATGCCTGGTAACAAAAAAAGACTACAAAAAAACACAACTTTGCACAAAGTCCATCACAACCTTATACAAAAAATATTTTTGCTGCTAGGACATCTGCTCGAGAAACTGCCTGTCCAATGTCAGACTGACATCACCCTTGTTACTGATCGTTGTAGTCAAGGATTATTTCAAAACAATTATGTAATCCTCCTCACTCTTTCTTTTAAAAACCTCTGTTTCCCTGAATAGTTTACTATGGCATGTGTATTCCCATTGCAATGTTTTATTCTCAAATTTCTCATAGAGAGTCTCTCTGCTTGTTATTTAGGTTGACAACAGTGCTAGAGACCCTAGTGGCAATCCACTAGGTGTTTAACAGGCACTTGTTAAATAGACTAGCAAGGCCGGGCGCGGTGGCTCACGCCTGTAATCCCAGCACTTTGGGAGGCCGAGGCGGGTGGATCACGAGGTCAAGAGATCGAGACCATCCTGGTCAACATGGTGAAACCCCGTCTCTACTAAAACTACAAAAAATTAGCTGGGCATGGTGGCGCGTGCCTGTAATCCCAGCTACTCAGGAGGCTGAGGCAGGAGAATTGCTTGAACCCAGGAGGCGGAGGTTGCGGTGAGCTGAGATCGTGCCATTGCACTCCAGCCTGGGCAACAAAAGCGAACCACTGTCTCAAAAATAAATAAATAAATAAATAGACTAGCAAATAGAATTGTGAAAGAGAATCTTCAAGAAATTCAAATATTTTATGAAAACTACAAGAGTCCAAGTGGAATTCATTTATTTAAAAATAATGCATCTGAATTTTAGAACAAAGTTATCTTTAAAAATTCTATATAAGGACTAAGTATATATTTTTATATAAGATGGCCATGAAAGACTAGTCTCAAATTACCTTATATTAAACTGGGATTATTCTTCACATAGCAAAAAGGAAATTTTTTTTAACTTTTTAGTTTTGGGAGTATACGTGCAGACTGATTCTATGGATCAACTGTGTGTCAAGGGGGTTTAGTGTATATGTTATTTTGTCATCCAGGCAATAAGCATAGTACCCAATAAGTAGTTTTTGATCCTCACACTCCTCTCACCCTCCACCCTCAAGTAGGCCCTGGTATCTATTGTTCCCTTCTTTGTGTCCATGTATGCTAGATGTCTGGCTCCCACTTATAAGTGAGAACATGTGGTGTTTGGTTTTCTGACCCTATGTTAATTCACTTTGGATAATGGCCTCTAGCTTCATCCACGATGCTGCAAAGAATATTATCTCTTTTTTTTGAGACAAGGTCTCACTTTGTCACCCAGGCTGGAGTGTAGTGGCATGAACATGGCTCACTGCAGCCTTAACCTCCTGGCTCAAGCAATCCTCCCACCCTCAGTCCCCCCAAGTAACTGGGACTATAGGCGCATACCCCCAAGTCCAGCTAATTTTTATATTTTTTGTGCAGATGGGGTTTCGCCATGTTGCCCAGGCTGGTCTCAAACTCCTGGGCTCAACTGATCCTCCCACCCTGGCTTCCCAAAGTGCTGGGATTACAGGTGTAAGCCACCACATCTGGCCTGCAAAAGATATGATCTCATTCTTTTTTATGAGTGTGTAGTATTTCCTGGCATATATATACCACATTATCTTTATCCAGTCTACTGTTGAAGGGCATTTAGATTGAGTCTATGTCTTTGCTATTGTGATCAGTGCTGCAACAAACATATGCGTGCATGTGTCTTTATGGCAGAATGATTTATATTCCTTTGGGTATATACTCAATAATGGGATTGCTGGGTCAAATGGTAATTTCTCTTTTAAGTTCTTTAAGGAATCGTCAAACTGCTTTCTACAGTGACTGAACTAATTTACATTCCCACCAACAGCATGTAAGCATTCCCTTTTCTCAGCAGCCTTGCCAGCATGTTTTTTCTTTTTCTTGTTTTTTTTTTTTGAGACAGAGTTTCACTCTTGTTACCCAGGCTGGAGGGCAATGGTGCGATCTCAGCTCACCGCAACCTCTACCTCCTGGGTTCAAGCAATTCTCCTGCCTCAGCCTCCCGAGTAGCTGGGACTACAGGCATGTGTCACCATGCCCAGCTAATTTTTGTATTTTTAGTAGAGACGGGGTTTCACCATGTTGACCAGGATGGTCTCCATCTCTTGACCTTGTGATCTACCCACCTCGGCCTCCCAAAGTGCTGGGATTATAGGCGTGAGCCACCGTGCCCAGCCTGTTTTTTCTTTTTAATAAAAGCCATTCTGACTGGTGTGAGATGGTATCTCACGGTGATTTTGATTTGTATTTCTCTAATGATTAGTAATGTTGAGAATTATTTCATAGGCTTGTTTGCCACATACATATCTTCTTTTGAAAAGTGTTGCCCAATTTTTAATGGGATTGTTTTTTTGCTTGTGAATTTAAGTTTCTTATAAAATTTTATTTATTTATTTTGAGACAGAGTCTTGCTCTGTCACCCAGGCTGGAATGTAGTGACATGATCTCAGCTCACTGCAAACTTTGCTTCCTGGGTTCACGCGATTCTCCTGTCTCAGCCTCCTGAGTAGGTGGAATTACAGATCCATGGCACCATGCCCGGCTAATTTTTGTATTTTTAGTAGAGATGGGGTTTCATCATGTTGACCAGACTAGACTCAAACTCCTAACCTCAAGTGATCTGCCTGCCTCAGCCAAAGGGTTTTTATAGTTTTAGATTTTACATTTAAGTTTTCAATCCATCTTGATTTGATTTTTGTGTATCATGTAAGGAAAGGATCCACTTTCCATTTTCCGCACATGGCTAGCCAGTTATCTCAGCACCATTTATTGAATAGTGTCCTTTCTCACACATAGCAAAATTTTCAAAATACAGAGTAACTTTTAACCACAAGAAAATTCTAGAGCTGTTTTAATCTAAACCATTACCACTATGGGTTTACAGTTACTATAAGAATGGCTTAAATATATTTTTCTAATATAATTTCTTTTCCCAAATCAGTTAAGTTAGCATGCAAACCATGTGGAAGTAGTATGGGTTACTACATCTGTCCTACATATTATTCTATACCCTAGAAACCCAGCATATTCTAGTCTTTAAATTCTAAGTTATTTGGCCAGGCATGGTGGCTCACGACTATAATCCCAACATTTTAGACTGCATGAAGCCATGACTGACTGAGAATCACTCTCTGGGTAGATAACAGGCACCTTTCTGGCCCCTTCTCTCAGATTCTTTCCTCCCTCCTCCACCTAAAGACAAGGCCTCCAAGTTCTTATGGTACCTTGTGATGACTTTAAAAGGCATGTTCAACTTTAAAAAGGTCTAATTAAGGCTGGGCATGGTAGCTCACACCTGTAATCCCAGCACTTTGGGAGGCCGAGGTGGATGGATCACTGAGGTCAGGAGTTCGAGACCAGCCTGACCAACATGGTGAAACCCTATCTCTACTAAAAGTACCAAAAAATTAGTCGGACGTGGTGGCATGCGCCTGTAGTCTCAGCTACTCGCAAGGCTGAGGCAGGAAAATCATTTGAACCCAGGATGTATAAGGTGCAGTGAACTGAGATTGCGCCACTGCACTCCAGCCTTGGTGACAGAGTGAGATTCCCTCTCAAAGAAAAAAAAAAAAAACTAACTTGTTTGAGAAAATTATGTTAAGTACAGCTTAGCAAAACTTGTTTACTCTAAGTTTTAACTCAAAACACCAATCAAGTTATTTTATCAAAATTGGCAAAGGACCATAATCTTTGTTTTCACCATTGCCTGAGTTGTTTAAAAAACAAAAACTAAGTACCTGGCACAGATGTAGAATCCTCTGCACACCAGGGACAACTGCTCCAATGATCTGAGGTCCAAGTCACTAGACACCACCCATCGGAAGATGTACATGAGGACCTCCATTGGCAGCACTGCAAAACAAAATCACCCTTCAGTGACTCTCCTCTATGTCATTCTGTTGTCACAACTACATTCCCAGTACAAGTATACATTCCTAGAAATTTATAAATCACACCCTCTGTATTGCTCAGAGCTACAGCATGAATGTATTCAGCTACTAAATAATAATAATGGTTCCTAACATCAAGACATAAATATCTTTGTTTTTTTCAGTATAGATCTGAAGCTACTTTTTGTAAAGGAATCTTTTCCCTAAGATTATTTTACCGGAAATATATTAAATGTTTTAGAAAAATAATCTGTGTGTGATCCATATGGCATCTATTTCATCTATCCATATTTCATCTCCTTCAAAATTTTCAATTGTCCTCCTCTGAAAAAGCCCCAAACTAAACAATATTTCACATTAAAAAATACATTAATTTTTTTCTGAGACAAGGTCTTGATCTATCACCCAGGCTGAAGTACAGTGGTACAATCTCAGCTCACTGCAGCTTCCGCCTCCCAGGTTCAAGCAATTCTCATGCCTCAGCCTCCCAAGTAGCTGGGACAACAGGCATGCACCATCACACCCAGCTACTATTTGTATTTTTAGTAGAGATGGGGTTTCACCAGGGCCAGGTCAACTGGTCTTGACTCCTGGCCTTAAGTGATCCTCCCAACTCAGCCTCCCAAAGTGCTGAAATTACAGGCATGAGCCACCACATCTGGACAAAAATACATTAATTTCTAAACATTCAGCCTGTCTCAGGACAGTTGTCCAACATGGCTGAAATGCTTCATACCAGTATTCCTCCAGTTTTCTAAGGGTTACTTCAACAACTCAGACTTACCTGTTAGATCTTTACTGAAAAGGTATGACATCCTTAAACAACAGCACTAAAAACTATTCTGCTTCAGATTTTAAAATAGCTTACTAGTATATGCAAATGATAATTATAACTAGATCTTCTGCCATATTCTAAACTAGAGCAGCAGTTATCCGGCAAATTATCTGACCTTATAAATTTAGAAATCTTTAATCTAAGCTTAAGCTATTTCTCATTGAGTTATAAAAAACACATATTCAAACCTGATATATGAGTCTGACTGCTCTCAAGCTCAGGCTGACACAGTTTGAGCACAGACTCCTGAAATGTGAGCTGCTGCTGAAAGTAGGACAAGAGATCTGCCATTTTGCTATCATCATCATTATCTTCAATGCTGAAAAAAGGGAGGTGAATAAATTAAGTGCCTCAGTCTACAAGCGTATACTTTAGAAACTGATTTTTCATACCATTTTCAAATTCGCTTTACAAAGTCACCTAAAGCTTATCCAACATGTGATACATTTTTAAATGTGATGAATTTATCCTGCCTTACAAAGGAATATCATACCAAGTTTTTCAAGGAAAAAAGCTTCAGTAGTTATCCAGAAAGAATTAGAATTTTTGAATATAGGTGTTGAGACTTAACTAATTAATTTTAAAGTAGAGATTTTATGAGTTAGTGAAAACTTTCAAATGATTTCAAAAATCTTAACGTAGTAAGTTCTTTAATCTTAATTTATTCTAACTGGATAAAAACCAAATCTACAGATGTCATTTTAGGTACTTACTTACCAAGGGTTTTCTAACAGATTTGCCTTATCAGCCTACCTTTAGAGAGGAAAATATCTAATTTGAAAACATCTTAAGGTGCACATATCATCTACCAATATACACAAATGTGTAGTTAAGGGTGATTAAAAAAAAAAAGTCTGAGCTTTCTATTTTTACTGAAGTAAACCTTAAAGATAATCAGACTTACAAAAAGGCATGAATAATGAAGTTAGAAAACCAGGAAGTTTCAAGTGATGCAGACTTAAATTAAAAAAAAAAAAAGAAAAGAAAGAAAGAAATGAAAAACCAGGAAGGGTATTTTATAATACAACAAAATTTAAGTGCGGTTGAGGCTAGATGGACTCAATGGCTATTCTACAAACATATTACAGGAAAGGAAAGAAAAAAAAAAAAAAGGTAAACTTTTAGGGATTATCAGATCTTATAAAAAAAAAAAAAAAAAAAAAAGATTGTATCCTTAAAGAACTTTCATAGCATCTGGGTTTGTATTAAAAAAATGGGAATGAAAAGATATGCCTCTTTAATATTTTAATATAATCTTTATTAACAGCATCTGGCACGTATTTATAAAACTGGCTAAGAGCTGAATCTAAGTTACCCAAATTTAAAGAAGATTTAGAAAAAGCTCAAATGATTCATTTTAAGTATGAACTGCCTTATACTGTTCACTCTAATCTGATGAACAATATTATTATCTGAAAATTTAAACAAGCAATTAATATTGACCTCATTGGGATGTTTTTAATATGACTTATCCAAAGCTTACATGTTAATACCATATGCAGTTCAAAACATTGGCAATAAGCATATGTTATCAATAAAGGTGACAATTATTTCATGACAGAGGGAATATATTAATATAATAGCTAATATGATATTTCATTAACAAACTCTTTTTTTTTTCCCTGTATTGTCTATTTTTAACCTGACATTCTCTCATGGGTACAGACCCCCTTCCCTTCCAATATCAGCAAATTGGGTTTTGGGAGATACTGGAATTAAGCTAAAACAACTTTATAATTGTCTTACAAACAGCTTCAAAAGTATCATCTTAAAAATATTTTTCTTGATATTTATCCATATAAAACCAATGCAACTTCATAATTTGATGCAAGTGGCAACTACACAATGAAACATGATTTCTTTTAGGAATATATTCTGCACTTGTGCTTTTAAATAAATGTTAGAGTTTTAATGTTCTACTAACAAACATTAAGAAAATAATGTCTTTTATACTTCAGCATTTTCCTCATTAAATTAGAAGCCTTTTTTAAAATGTAAAATTTCAAATGTTTACAAAAGAAACTAGTGGAACAAAATCCCATGTACCCATCACTCGATTTTAACCATCATTAACATTTTGCAAACTTTAGCCTAATTACATTTTAAAACTTTCTACTTCAAACAGGTTTCAGAAAGTTGAAATGCGTCCTTTAATTTACTCCTTTCAGTAACTACTGCTTTTTAAAACCGTTTTCACTTTATTATTTTTACATCTGTTTAAAAGGTGCATTTCTATGTTAACCTTTTGATTTCCCTAATTAAAAAATTTCTGCAACTTTATAAACAAAGATATACTAAAGAATATAGAGCTTAACAGAATTAGCACCATCTTCTTATGTTTAGAGTCAATAGGGCAAAGATGCTTAACTTTAACAAACTCTATGCATTACTGTCTATCAAATTATATACGCACTAGCTGTTTCCAACGCCATCACCATCTGGAGACCGGGTATAAGTAATCTTGAACTCTATATCAGGTACAAGTTGCATAGCCCTACGATAAAACTTGATGGCTAAAAGAAGAAATAAAGCTAAATTAGCTATGACCACACATTTTTGTCATTTCCTTTGATTACCCTTAACTGTGGTTTAATTTGGTAACTTTCTTCACAAACAGCCAAGTTCTGTTTTTCTACATGCAACAGTAGTTCAGTGACACAAAATTATTTCCAAACCTTACTGCTCAGAAAGAACCTTTTCCCTAAACTTAAGATGTTGTATTTTACTCATATATTAGCCCATCTTTTTCCTCACCCTCTCATATATCATGATTTTTAAACAGTTGTCTTTCTTTGGGCTCTGAAGATACAATTGCTATAGCCAACAAAAATACTCTGTCTCTCTTTGTTTAAGACAGGGTCTCACTCTGTTGTCCAGGCTGGAGTGCAGCTGGCACGATCTCGGCTCACTGCAGACTCCACCTCCCAGGCTCAAGCAATTCTCCCACCTCAGCCTCCTGAGCAGCTGTGGCTACTGGAATGCGCCGGCCAGCACACTCGGCTAATTTTTAAATTTTTCTTAGAGATAACATCTTGCAATGTTGCCCAAGCTGGTCTATAACTCCTGGGTTCAAACAATCCTCCCACCTCAGCCTGCCAAAGTGCTGAGATTAGAGGTGCGAGCTACCATGCCTGGCCAAAAACACTTGTAAGCAAACTTTTCTAAGACACAGAGTTGAGGAAAATTAAATGCTTCTTACTGGATAGAATAAAGAATAGTTTGTTTTTTTAATTATCTTTTAAATTTAACTTCCTTTAGCCCACCGCCTCTTATTTAGCTAAGTAACCTTCAAGATTTTTTTTACAAATCTACTAGTCTAGTACTTTAGAGCTATGATATTCAATAACTCTCCCCACAGAGATACACCAATAGAACTTGGCGCTGTAGAGGCTAGTTCTTTTTTCCTTTGAAGAAGTTTATGATTCAACATATTTCTGCCACATTCTATTATTCTGGATGAATTACCATACACTAAGTGGAGATGTGAATTTCACAAACCAATGAAGGGTGCACAGGGACTTGACCAATTGGGCCTTTCTAAAATCTAAAGAAAAATATCACTAGAAGAAACTTGCACATAAATGCAGTAACTCTAAATATGTTATTTTTGAGGCATTTCCAAATGATTCCAGCACAAAGGTTTTTCCTGTGCCTCAACTATTATCTTTACAATCACAAAATGAAAGCGTAATTACAAACTTAATATGGTAAATAGTCCTATCAGTTTATTTATACATTTCTATTGGGTTAATAAAAGACACAAAGCTGACACACATATTACCACATATTTTTGTTGGTAATATGTAAATTATAACTTATAAAGGAAAATACATATTTTTTCCTCAATTCTTTATATTCCCATCATCTGAAGTAATTTTCACCTATAAGAAGAGCATATTTTAAAATGAACAATTTTTAAATATTAATGAATAACTAAAGCTAAATGTAAAAAAAGTGTTATTTTGCTCATCCTACCAATATGATGATGTTTCCCAGCAATATTTTTTGCAAAAAGACAGGTTACATAGAAAAACAATTTCTATTTTTTATTTTTTAAAAAACAATTTCAAATACAGTTGGCCTTCTGTATGCATAGGTTTCACATTCTCTGATTCAATCAACTGCAGATAAAAAATATTTAAAATAAATACAAATTTTAAAAAACAATACAATATAACAACTATTTACATAAGTTATATATAAATATTACACCATTTATATAAGTGACTTAAGCATTTTGGTATTTGCAAAGGGTCCTGGAACCAATTTCCAATGAATACTGAAGGAAGAATATATTAAGAAAACTGATGTTCTATACCAAATATGTTATAATTTAAAAAAATATGGTTAATAACAGAGTTGTTATTCAGAAATATTATGATGATATGATCCTGTGCTCTGAATTTTTACCTTCATAGAGAGCTCCATTTTGTTCTTCTTCTACTGCTTTTAGGAAGAATTCTCGAGCCTATAAAAATATAGAGTAAAAATTTTTTAAAACCTGCATTAAAAATTAATATGGATGGCAGGAGGGCGTTTTAAATAAATTGTGTGAAATAACTAGTCATAGGCAAAATAATGAGCCTTGATCTAAACCTCATACTTTACATAAATATTAACTTGAATGGATCATGGACTTAAATGTAAAACCCATAAAACTTTTAGAGGAAAAGAAAACAAAGAAAATCTTGGAAACCTAGGACTAGGCAGAGTTCCTGTATTTGACACCAAAAGCACCATTCATAAAAAAAAGATGGATAAGTGGGATCTCATCAAAATTAAAAATTTTTGCTCTGTGAAATGCCCTGTTAAGAGGATGAAAATATTTACAAGCCACATATTCAATAAAAGACTTGTATATAGAATACAAAAAGAACTTCCAAAACACAACATTAAAAATATTAGCAATCTGGCTGGGCATGGTGGCTTACACATATAATCCCAGCACTTTGGGAGGCTCAGGTCAGCAGATCACTTGAGGCCAGGAGTTTGAGACTAGCCTGGTCAATAAGGTGAAACCCATCCCTACTAAAAATACAAAAGTTAGCCAGTTGTGGTGGTGCATGCCTGTAGTCCCAGCTACTCTGAAGGCTGAGCCAGGAGAATCACTTGGGAGGCAGAGGTTGCAGTGGGCCAAGATCATGCCACTGCACTTTAGCCTGGGTGACAGGGTGACACTCTGTCTCAAAAAAAAAAAAAAAATGTATACACACACACATGCAATCCAATTAGAAAAGATATCAACAGGTATTTCAGAGAAGAATATATATTAATAGATAAGTAATAAGCACATGAAAAGATGTTCAACATCATAAGCCATTAGGGAAATGCAAATTAAAATGACAACGAGATACCACTATATATCTATATTAATGGCTATTAATAAAATTAAAGGCCAGGTGCAGTGGCTCACGCCTGTAACCCCCTGGCTCATGCCTGTAACCCCAGCACTTTGGGAGGCTGAGGTGGGTGGACTGCTTGAGGTCACGAGTTCAAGACCAGCCTGACCAACATGGTGAAGCCCCATCTCCACTAAATATACAAAAATTAGCATGGCGTACTGGTGAGCACCTGTAATCTCAGCTACTCAAGAGGCTGAGGCAGGAGAATCACTTGAACCCAGGAGGTAAAGGTTGCAGTGAGCTGAGATCATACCACTGCACTACAGCCTGGGCGACAAAGCAAGACTCTGTCTTTAAATAAATAAATAATAAAAAGTAGCAAGACCAAATGCTGATGAGGATGAACTGGATCACTCATACATTGCTGGTGGGAACTTATAAGATACTCTAGAAAACACTTCGGCAGTTTATTTTAAAAGCAAACATGCACTTACTATAGAACTTAGCAACCACATTCGGGGTTTCATCCCAGAGAAATGAAAATTATGTTCATGCAAAAATCTGCACACACATTTCGATAGTTCCATTCATAATAGCCAAACACTGGAAACAACACGAAAGTCCTTCAACCAACAAATGGTTAAACAAACTGGGGTATATCCATACCATGCAGTACTATGCTGCAATAAAAAGGAAAAAACTACTGATACATAACAACATGGACTGATCTTGAGGGAATCACACTTAGTGAATAAAGCCAATCTCAAAAGGTTACATACTGTATGATGCCACTTATACAACATTCTTGGAATATCAAAATTACAAAATGGAGAACAGATTAGTGATTGCCAGTGGTTAAGAATAGCTAGAGAAAGGCCGGGCGCGGTGGCTCAAGCCTGTAATCCCAGCATTTTGGGAGGCTGAGGCGGGTGGATCACAAGGTCAAGAGATCAAGACCATCCCGGTCAACATGGTGAAACCCCGTCTCTACTAAAACTACAAAAAATTAGCTGGGCATGGTGGCGCGCGTGCCTATAGTCCCAGCTACTCAGGAGGCTGAGGCAGGAGAATTGCCTGAACCCAGGAGGCGGAGGTTGCGGTGAGCCGAGATCGCGCCATTGCACTCCAGCCTGGGTAACATGAGTGAAACTCCGTCTCAAAAAAAAAAAAAAAAAAAAAGAATAGCTAGAGAAAGGGAATATATAACTATAAAACAGTTCTGTATCTTGATTGTGGTGGCGGTGACATGAAGCTACCTTGTAATAAAACTGCACACAACTGTTTATACACATACACACAGACAAGTGCTTGTAAACCCAGGAAATCCAAATAAACTCTCTGGGTTGTCTGAATGCCTATTTCCTTGTTTTTGATACTATACTATGGTTATGCAAGTTGTTACCATCAGAGGAGGCTAGATGAAGGGTACACAGGACTTCCCTGAACCTGTGAACCTATAATTACTTAAAAATAAAAAATAAGAGGAGATAGAAGATTTAAGTCATCAGAGTAATGCCAATTATTTAATGACTAATTGACAACACAAACTTGGATCTGATGGTAAAAAGATGGCAGCCTCTATGGAAAAAGAGAATAAAAAATGAAATGGTATGCTGTGCCTACTCTGTGTAAGTTCCAGAAGAAATGTGAATGTTAGACAGCATTCAAAGCATTTTCAGTGTGAAAATATTTCAAAATTTTCCAGAATAAGGAAATGATTAATGCATTATTATAAGCTGATTAACTCAAAATATAACAAAATACTGCATGAAATTAAGGCCTCTGGAAAGATGTTAACATGTGAGCAATCTTTTTTTTTTTTTTTTTTTTTTGGTTGGCTCTGTTAATAAATTCAGATATCAATCTTTCAGAGACCACATGAATCCCAGAGGTCTATAAATTAACAAAAAACAGCTCAATGAAGATAGTTTATCTACAGAGAAAAAAGCCATTCAGGAGTAGTGGTATCATCCAAAGTATCTAGAAGAAATTGTGAGAAATATATAAACTAGTATACTAGTGAAATTTTTTTTTTTTTTTTGAGTCAGAGTTTTGCTTGCTACCCAGGCTGGAGTGTAATGGTGCAATCTCGGCTCACCGCAACCTCCGCCTCCTGGGTTCAAGCAATTCTCCTGCCTCAGCCTCCCGAGTAGCTGGGATTACAGGCTCATGCCACCATGCCCGTCTAATTTTTGTATTTTTAGTAGAGACGGGGTTTCACCATGTTGACTAGGATGGTCTCAATCTCTTGACCTTGTGATCCACCCACCTAGGCCTCCCAAAGTGCTGGGATTATAGGCGTGAGCCACCACACCTGGCCCAAAATTTTTATTTTACATGTCATGTGCTTATGTCCTGAAAGACTGGTTACAATGACTACTTACTGTGTCAGTGAAAATTTCCAGTTGCCAAAACTAAAAAAAAGGTAATTTGTTACAACATCTATAATACTTAACTTTTCTTCTTTTGCCTGTTCTTGTTTTCCTTTGGTATCTGCTGCTGTTTTCTGGAGAGAGCCTCTTGTTGCTCTGCAAGGTCGATTTTCCAAATTGCTAGCACTTACACCTGGAGCAAGTTCAAACATCCACTGAGCTCGGAACATCTGGAGTTGTGCCTAAGGAGAGAAGAGCACAGTAGGACTCACCAAGGAAGGGTAGCTCAATTCTGGAACAATGTATCAGTATGTCCAACATCTACTTTCATGTATATACTTATCATTCTAAGTCCAGAAATAGCTGTTACTAAATATCCATTAAATACATGTAATCGTTTAAAATAATTTTCTACTCAAAACATAAAGAATCAAGAAAATTTGCATAAAATACGTCTGTCAATACAGCAAAAGCTGAATGGTACCGGAGAACCAAATTTTAATTAGAATTGAAAATATAAGCCATCACTTACAGACTGAAGTTATAAGCTTCCTTTTTTTTTTTTTTTTTTTTTTTTTTGAGATGGAGTTTTGCTCTTACTGCCCAGGCTGGAGTGCAATGGCACAATCATGGCTTACTGCAACCTCTGCCTCCTGGATTCAAGTGATTCTCCTGCCTCAGCCTCCCAAGTAGCTGAGATTACAGGTGTGCACTGTGCCCAGCCAGCTTCCAATAATTTTTTAATGACTATAGCATCTAGTAGACATTAAGAGTATTACCAAAAATTCTGTAGGTAAGCCCAAAGTCTTCCTCTTAATTAACATTCTGTATTTAAGAAAGAAAGTATCTTTCAAATATTTATTTTAAAAATTTAAATGTGCAACTTTGAGGCTGGGTGTGGTGGTTCATGCCTGTAATCCCAGCACCTCGGGAGGCCGAGATTGTCGAGAGTTCAAGAACAGCCTGGCCAACATGGCGAAACCCTGTCTCTACTAAAAATGCAAAAAAAAAATTGCTGGGCATGGTGGCAGGCACCTGTAACCCCAGCTACTCGGTAGGCTGAGGCATGAGAATTGCTTGAACCTGGGTGGCAGACGTTGACAGTGAGATGAGATCGCATCACCGCACTTCAGCCTGAGCAACAGAGCAAGACCCCATCTCAAAAAAAAAAAAAAAAAAAAAATTAAAGCACATAAAAAGTGAAGTCCCCCTGTATGGCAGACTCTGGTGTGTTGCCCAGATTCACTTTCAGAAATAAAGAGCCTGTTACTCAAATTGCTGGGAATTCTAGCTGAAAAACAGCCCTTTTGGGTATTGCCTCAGCAAAACCACTGTCTTCTCAATCTATTGTCAGCCCTTTTGGGTATTGTCTCAGCAAAAACGCTGTCTTCTCAATCCCCACCCGATGACTGATTAATGGCTAATAAAGGCTTCGTTCTCTGTCTGCAACTCAGGTCAGCTGTGAAAGGGTATTACATCTTCGGAACTCCCTCGAGGATGGCTAAGCAGTCCATTAAGACTGCATTGCAGCTGGTCTTCTCCCTGCCCACTCGTTTCCCTCTCTCCCTTCCATAGGTGTTGAACCCAAAAGTACTCCTTAATAAACTTCCTGCACGGCAATCTTCACCTAGTTTGATTCCTGGGGAACCCAAGCTGGGTTACACGTTCTGCCTAAACAGCCACTGCTAACGGGGCTGCATGTTATTCCTGACGTCCTTTTTTTAAAAAAGCCGTATCTAGAATGTTTTAAAAATAATTTTTCTCTGTATTCTGTACACAGCTTTGTTGCTATGCTTCCAACATTTTACACATGTATCTCTGACCTACAGAATCTTCAGCAGCATTCCATGTGTCTACTAGACCATCTGGTTCCAAATAAATATTAACCTTACAAGTGCAGTGAGACACACTTAACTAGTTACAGCAACTTTTTTTCTATTTTAATGCTAAAGATTTACTTCATCCTTTTAAATGGCTGTAGTGTTTTCACTGTATGGATGCATCATTACTTAATAACAAGTGATGAATATTTAGGTTGTATGATGCTTTTCCAGATAAACAATGCTATACTAAACATCTTTATACTTGCATATTTACTTACTTTACCATTTCCCCACTATTTCCTTAAAGTTCATTTCCTGGAAGTAGAATTGCTGTATCAAAGGAATGCATGTTTTTCATTTTGATCGATACCACCAGTCTGCCCTCCAGAAAGTTGTAGCAATTTGCATTTTCATGTACACTGCACAACTATTCTCACAGCCTGGACATCGATGTACATTATTCACCAATCTGATTAAATTATCAGTGAGGCTAATTATCTCTTCAAATATTTAATAGCCGTTTGTATTATTTTTCCATTAACTGTGCAGTCATATATTTTTATTCTCTGTTCCTCCAAATATATGAATGCTCTATATAATGAGATGATGAACCCTATGCTCACATAAACAGTTTTTCCAACTGGCTATTTCTCTTAACTTTATTTATGATACCTTTTGCTATACACTGGTTGTAAACTTTTAGGTGGTCAAACCCATCAACGTTTTTAAGATTATGGGTTCTGAGTCATGCTTAAGCCTTAGTTTGAATACTTAAAACCCATATGTTAAACTACAAGCAGCCAGTATTGATGTTGCTTTTTACAAAGAAATCCATCACATTGGTTAATTATTCTATAAACCAGTATGAAACAGTTAAACTCAATGCAAACAGTAATAACCTACAAATACCCATAATTATGACCAATTTCTGCATATGTATGAGAAACAATAGAATAAAAATTAAAGACGTAATTGAAGAAACATGCCTGCAGATCTGTTTCAGCAGGACTTTCATTTTCTTCATCATCATCATCTGCTCTGACAGTATCAGAATGACAATCTTCCTCAGCTTCTGCCTGAGGGGGAAAAAAACCCAAATAATATCAGGAATATACACACACCAGCTGCCCTCTGTAATCAATATTGCCCACTCAGCCACTTGCTATTTAATATTCACACTGTCAACAGTTTATGAAACCCACTTTGAGTACCAAGGCTGCGGGGTGCCCTTGAGACCTTACTTTTAATTCCCAAAGGAAAATGAGTCTGAAAAGCATATTCTCTACTCCAAACCACAGTACTCACATTACTGTGAATCCTAACATTTTTCCCCCCAAATTTAACATCAGTTCCGTCCATCCAAAAATCAATTTAATTACAGTTGTCCCACAGGGGATTGGTTCCAGGAGCCCCCAGGACACCAAAATCCCTGGATGTTCCAGTCCCCTTATATGGCATATTTGCATATAACCTATGCACATCTTCTCACATACTTTAAAATAATACAAATTTAAAAACAGTATACTACAAGAACTGTACACATGGCATTTACATTGTATTAGATATTTTAAGTAACTTAAAGATGACTTAATGTAAATGCCATGTATACAGTTCTTATAGTATACTGTTTTTAAATTTGTGTTATTGTTGTATTGTTTTTTTTTCCCCCAAATATTTTTGATCCACTGTTTAATCCCAGGATGTGGAACCTGCAGGTACAGAGGGCCAACTGTATTATAAAAAGTAACAATTCAAGGCTATTACTATTCATAAATGATTTATAATGTAATTAGGTAAAAGAAGCCAAATCTTTCATTAACATATATATAACTACTGATAATCTATAAAAAAATTATTTTCACTTTTTCTGGCCAGGTGCGGTGGCTAACACCTGTAATCCCAGCACTTTGGGAGTCTGAGGCAGGAGCATCACTTGAGGTCAGGAGTTCAAGACCAGCCTGGCCAACATAGTGAAACCCCATCTCTATTAAAAATACAAAAAATCAGCCAGGTGTGGTGGTGTGTGTGCCTGTAGTCCCAGCTACTTGGGAGGCTGAGGTGGGAGGATTGCTTAAGCCTGAGAGATGGAGGCTGCAGTGAGCCGAGATTGTACCACTGCACTCCAGCCTGGATGAACAGAGACCTAATCTCAAAAAAAAAAAAAAAAATGCTGGGCACGGTGGCTCACACCTGTAATCCCAGCACTTTGGGAGGTCAAGGCCAGCGGATCACCTGAGGAGTTCGAGACCAGCCTGGTCCAACATGGTGAAACCCTGTCTCTACTAAATATATAAAAATTAGCTGGGCATGGTGGCAGGCACCTGTAATCCCAGCTACTCAGAAGGCAGAGGAAGGAGAATCACTTGAACTCAGGAGTTGGAGGTTGCAGTGAGCTGAGACTGCACCACTGCACTCCAGCCTGAGCAACAGGGTGAGGGTCTCAAAAAAAAAAGACAAGAAAAAAAATTATCACTTTTTCTTAGAAAAAATGAATTAAAAATAGGTTCATCTTTGGTATTCTCTTTTAGTTCTACAAGTTTTTTTTTTTTTAAAACTTTTTATGAGAAAAATACTTAACAGGAAAAAATTCCCAAGTATTCATGATCCGATTTTAATAATTATCAGTGTAATAATTCCTTGCATCAAATACCAAATCACAATATTCACATTTCTCAAGATGTCATATGTAAAATACATATATTTCAGTTTGTGAAATCAAGATTCAAATAAGGTCCACATTGTAATTGGTTGCTATGTCTCCAGTCTTTTGTAATCCTGTCTTTTTTCTTGTAATGTATTTAGGATGAAACTGGGTCATTTTTCTGTAGAAGCTAGATTTTATGAGGTGTCAACAAATGTGTTCCTTTGACCTCTTACTCTTATTTCCTGTAAATTGTAGCTGGATCTTGAGAGGCCAGATTAGATTCTGCTAAGATTTTTTTTTTCTTTTGCAAGACTGCTTCATAGGTCATGTTGTATTTTCCATCGGAAGCAGAAATGTTCTAGAATGCAGTTGACAAGGTGCTAAGACAGATGTTCCAGACATAATCAAGTCTAACACAAAAAGCCCAAATAATTTTAGTGTCCATAAACTTCTACAAGTACCCAAACAGAAAATACTATAATGGTTCATGTTAATGAAATACAACATTGCTTCTCTGTAGATATCCTCCTCACAGGTAAGTTTAATGACACCAATCAGATATAACTTGATACTTCAATTTTTTCAATACTGTAGAATAAACAAATCCACTGGACTCTAGTTGAAAGTGTATTGTTGAGTGGCTAAAAACACAGATTGGTTTCAGAAAATAGTAACATTTAGTTGTCCTATGGAGTTCAGGTAACAGTTTTTGTTTTCTTGAGACAGTCTCCTTATGCAACCCAGGATGGCCTCAAACTCCTGGGCTCCGAAGGTACTTCTGCCCCACATCTTGAGAAGCTGAGACTACAGGCTTATGTGGCCATGCCTGGCTGTAGCAGATGGTTTTTGTTTCATGGATCACTTAAGAGAATATAGTCACGTAGTCCAGGCAAGGCACAGTGGCTCATGCCTATAATCTCAACACTTTGGAAGGCTAAGATGGGAGGGCTTGAGCCCAGGAGTTTGAGACAAACCTGGGCAACATGGCAAGACCCAGTCTATACAAAAATTACAAAAATTAGCAGGGCTTGGTGGTACATGCCAGTAGTCCCAGCTACTCAGGAGGCTGAGGTGGGAGGATCGCTTAAGCCTGGGAGATGGAGGTTGCAGTGAGCCAAGATTGCACCACTGCTCTCCAACTCGGAAGACAGAGCGAGACCCTGTCTCAAAAAAAAAAAAAAAAAAAAAGAATACAGTCCATAAAATGATGTCACTTCTTTTATACAGCTAGCATGTTATTAAATGTGTTCTATGCAAACATGACTTCTGTGTATTAATGTTTTATATGTACTAGGAAAGCTCCTTAGTCAAAAACTTTTAATAGTAAATGTTTTATAAAGAAACCCCTTCTATTTTATCTGTCTATAAATCCAATTTTTATATATTGGATTGGCTTTAGTGGAATAAAGCTAGACTGGAATTACTGTGTGTGACCTGAGGCTTAATAGAGGTCTCAGTCAGATGTCTTACATTTCATCCTTTCATTCTGAATAAATGTTTGCTAAATTAAACTGAATCCTACCTTACAGTAAAAATGGTATGTTGTCTCAGTTCAGTCTGTTAGCTAATAGACTTCAGCAAATGAAACTTGCTCAATACTTAAAGAAATGTGGCAATCAGGGAAATGACCTTAAAGGTTAGCTAGATAATAAACCCATTTAATTTTACTAGTTCCAAAGATGGTAAGTTTTAAATTTTGCAAATTTTAGTTGTATGTTATTTCAGGGTGGGGGGTGTTTATATTAACACACATCTTTAACATAGCCACCAGACATAGTTGCACTATATTACAGAACATAAATTAGCCTTGCCTCTTATCTTATCTCTGGCAAGCAGACTCAAACCAGAGGTGCCTTTCAGAGTTGACCAGTTAGTATACGGTAAAATGCTGGGCACACTGTAAAGCATACATCTGTGAAGCAATAAATGAGATCAAGAACTCAGGTCAATTTCCAGAAAAATGGAAAAGGATTAATGTATTGTCAAATACATTTTTTTTTTTTGGTCTCTTTAAGTTGGAAGCTTTTCCTATTAAGAACACCACTAGTAGGAAAATATGTAATGAAAGACTGAATGTATAAATCCCACTGAGAATTGTATTTCTCTCTCTTCTAAGAATCTGCTTTATTATTGTAAACTCTAAGTACAGGTAATGGGAGTGTTCCTGAGTTCTGTGGGGTATCCTTTGTAGTTTAGTTTTCTAACTCTTGCCTAGCAGTCATTCTAAACGGACTTCAAGAGCTTCTCCTGCTGTCCAGTTGGCTTGCATATGCTGCTTGCTCTATCTGGAATGCCTTCCTCCTCACTTAGCTATTTCTATTCACCCTTCAAGATGCAGCTCAGGGTTCATCTTAGTCAGAAGCATTTTTCAACCTTTCTGATTGCCTCTTTTGTGTTCCCATAATACTTGTGCTTACTTTTATCACAACACTTGTACTGAGGCTGGTTGTTTCATTCACTAGAGTTAAGGCATCAAGGACAGGAACATATCTCAGTTACCTTTGTAACCATAAGGCCAAACACATTGCTTGATTTGTAAAGGCCTGTCTAGGCCTCAGCTGTCATATCTATGGGACATCTGGAAAGAGATACGGTGATCTACTGAGGTCCCTTTTCATATGTGACATTCTGTGATTAAAAGTTTATCATAAATCACCTTGCAGGTTTGGTTATATTGAAGATCTAGTATTGTACCTTAGTCTCACACTATGCTAAGCTGGTAATAAGTACTCAAAATCTGAATGATGAGGAAAGGAAATGGGAGACGTGTAATATAGATGGCATCTTTCTTCTCCCCTGTGTTACAGTGGCGTTTTAAATCATTCTTACTTTGATTTTGACAGTACCATCACAAAAACAAACTACTATATCTGGGATCTGGCTGAGCTGACATTTGGTCAACTCAAATACCACCTGAAATAAGTAGGCCCTCAGTTGCCACCTGGAGGTTTTCCTTTTATTTTTCATAATCGAGTTTGACCTAAATATCACCCTCACTTAAGTAGCTCATGTGTATGAGTAGCCCATGTCTTCATCATGTTACTCCTGTTTCACAGGTGGGATTAATAAACTATAAAGGCTAAATGCTTAATCCCAGTCAGAGAACTACTTCTGAAAGTTTAGGATCGGGGCATTTGATGCCTTTTCTATCCTCCAGATTAATTGAATAAATTCAGCCATTCATTTATGCAATAAAATTTGAGTCTACCATAAATTAATTCGTTTGGAATCATTTCATTCCTGATCTTTCAGCCCCAGCCAGAGGTTAGTTTCTCAGATGGACAACTTATTCTAAACCAAAGAAAGGCACAGGACAGAAACTACGTATTCCAGTACGAAACAGTCCCCTGGAATCTACGCTGTCAAACTCTGCAGCTTAGCTCAGTCTCTCCATTTGGACCACACCGACGCCGCGGAGACGAACCCTCCAACCCCACTCTGCCAGGGCCACCTGCCAACATCCTACCTAGGAAACTGACGCCTCGTGGGGCAGACGCGTCCTACACCCAGGGCTTCTCAAGGTGCAGGCAGGGCCTGTCGGTGGGCCCGGCTTTTCAGCAGAAGGGCAATCAACAAGTGTCTCCGCTTGCCAGGGCTCCCTCCCAAATTCAGACGCTGCGACAGCTCACCTCAGTCTATGCTCAATGCTTCTGATAAAGTCCCTCGAGAGGACCGAGACTGATTCAATATACTCAGTGAGCTGAGAAGGGACATTTTCCCCGGCTGTCCTGCAAACGTCCCCCTCCTCACATCGAGCCCAGCGGGGGCTGGGGTGGCTCAGCAGAAAGGAACCCTAGGGAGAGACCAGGGTTGGTACCCTCCCGTCCTCCGACTCACTCCCTCTCAGGCCAGGGCCCTCTAACGGGCGGCAGCCGTGCAGCTCCCACTCCTCCTAGGGTCCCTGCCGACCCCCAACCCTAGGCCCGGGCCCTCCTTGCACACCGCGCTCCCGCCCCGCGGCGTCCACCCTCCAACCCCCTGGCCAGGTTACCATGCTGGCGGGGCGGCCTGCAGCACTCGAGGGCGGCTCTCCGCGCCCCCTCTGCACCGCCCCCGAGGAGGGGTGCTGGGTGTCCGGGTGTCTACTCCTGCCTGTCTCTGCAGCGGGGCTTAGCAGAGTTCTCGGTCGGAGAAGCGCACCAGGCAGCGGCAGTAACTGCGGGCCCGGCGTACGGCAGCCATCTTCGCGGGGCAGGGGGCCAGATCGGGGCGCGCTGGGGTGGCGGCGGCGGCCGGGGACTCGGGGAGTGGAGGGACGCCCGTTGCCAGCCGCGGCGGGAGACTGTGCGAGCACCGGAGCGTCCGCCCCAGTGGAGACCCCGGACGCCGCTGCGGAGCTGCCCCTCAGCTGCGGGAACCTGCGCCGACGCGCCGAGCATGCGCAGTGTCGGCGCTGCCCTTGTGCGCTGCCCGGCCCCCCAGCCCTAGGGCTGCCTCGTGGTGGGAGACGGGGGGCGGGAAGGCAGTGTGCGCGCGCCAGGCATAGGGCTAAGGCTGCCCGAGCGTCGAACCTCAAGCTCAACCCGTGTGTTCGGCTGAGTGAACAGTTAAGCGAACTTGACCAAGCATTATCTCAAAAATGTTTACAACCCAAATTTAGGGGTGAGCCCCTAAGGCAAGCCGCCCAGAAGAACATAAAACTGGACGCTTGGAACAGTCGCTACAAAGTCCTCGGAGACTCTGGCTAGAGTCCTGCGCCAGGAATGCGGGAAAACAGTGAAACTTCTCAACAGTCACAGCTGTTATAACGACTTAAGTTTTTGAGAGCACAAACTGGAGGTTGAGGAAGAGACGCGCTTTGCTGCCCAGCAGGAGGAAAGCAAGAGCCACGCAAAGCACATCTCACTACAAATCCCATAATGCAATGGGGGGGAGGGCTTTCGACTCCATGGCCCTGAAACCCAAGTGCCGCGGAAACAGCGCTCGCGAGGCTCTCTGGGATATGTAGTCCATCGCTCAGGTTTGAGCGCCGGAACTTACCCTTAGTCCTCAGCCCCACCTCTTAAAGCCCAAACTACCTGATTTCATCTCAAGTGAATGTACTTGTTTACCAGATGATACTTTGTTTTTCCACAGTCTTTTTGTTTTCCACAATCTTTTTTAACTACGGGTTTCCCTGTTCTGTGAAAACCGACAGGCTTCATAGCCTATTACCTTCATTTAGCAAACATTTACTGAGTTTTTAAAGTTTCTACTGGTGACAGGAACTAATAGGGCTCCAAGCATTCAACGAGTTTACAGAGTTTAAACTTCTAATCCATTCTATTCTGGAGATTAAAAATGCAGTACATCTTTGGCAGAGAAGTGGAGGTGAAAGTGCTGGGGGAGGAGAGACAGTGCCAGCTACAATAAGGAAGTCCCAAATGCCTCGTTGCCTAGGCTGGAGTGCAGTGGCGCGATCTCGGCTCACTGCAACCTCCGCCTCCCAGGTTCAAGAGATTCACCTGCCTCAGCCTCCTGAGTAGCTGGGATTACAGGCATGTGCCACCACTCTTGGCTAATTTCAGGCTGGTCTCAAACTCCTGACCTCGTGATCCGCCTGCCTGGGCCTCCCAAAGTGCTGCGATTACAGGCACGAGCGACCGCGCCCGCCTGCAGTTTTTAAATATTGGGCTTCACCCTTCGGATGAGTGTAATTTTATTTGCACCCTAAGTCGGCTACCTATAGTGCCTTCGTGTTTAAAAGGGGCCAAAAATGTAAGTTTTTAGTTTAAAGGGAGACTCTAGGGCTTAAGTCATTTTAAAGATAAATTTCCTCCCAATGAACTCCTTAAAATTGGATTTTGAAGTTTAAACTGGGGAGGAAGGGTTAAATCTAAGGATTTATAATGGAATAAAATGATAAATGTGACTCTTGAATGCTAATAAGTTTTACAAACTGAGAATGAAGAAATAGTTTCAGAACGAATCTGTTTCATTTAAAATGTTGAGTGCTAATTTAAAATAGTTGGTCAATTAGCACAGATGATTTCCTTTATTCTAGCAAGTAATTAAAGCTTAATAAAATATTTGTAAAGATAAATTGAGCATTAAAACACTATTATGTTTCATAGCTAGTAATTTTCTATTTTCAGTCAGTTCCACAGTATCCGCTAGACCTCCTTAAAAGGTTATATTCTCTCATCATACTGTATTTACAGGATTATAGTTTCCTGAGGCCAAAACTACTGATCTAAGCTACTTAACTAGCCTAGCAGACTGTTGCTAAAGGTAGACCAAGACAGTACCTCAGTTTGCCACATAGACCTGCTGAGACAATTTGATTAACTAAAACTGATAACTTTACCTTAGAAATTGCTTTTCATGGGAGTAGTATATGACTTGTTAGATTCCTTCTTGTGTCTCTATCTTTCCACTGATAATGATTTTCCATTTTCATTTGCCATATGGGCTGGCTTTTAAATAGGTAAAAACAAAGGTAGATACAAATGTTATACATCTGTCAAATGACCAGATAGCCTTTTTCCATTTGGGAGAGGGTATCTAAGGAAGCTTGACTATCTTATATCTTGCATGTTTCTTCACAAGATCAAGAGGAGAAAGGGATTCAGGCTTTAGTATAGAGTCTTTCAGTAAAAAACAATCTTCAGTCTGTAGAATTCGAAAATAAAAATAGTGAGAAAAAACTGTTATGATGATCAGCTGGGAATTGTAAACTCAGAGAACAGTCCACAAAGTGTTAAAGGGGCTCTGCTTTATTAATTAAATCTGTGTTGCTTAAGGCAGCGGTGACCAGCAGCATTAGCACCAGCAACTCTGGGAGTGCAGCCCAGGAATTTGTTTTAACAAGTCCTCCATGTGGTTCTGATGCTTCCCGCTAATGTTTAAGAACTGTTGGCTTAGAACAATTATGTAAATATAAAATCAGACACCTGGAAGCAACTTCTTTTTTCAAAGCGCTCTAGCCTCATAAGGATGATTTTAGGTAATGTCTACACTTATGACATAAATGAATGTGTTATAAAATTACATGTGTTAGATTCCCTATAATTAGTTACAGAGGGAGGACGATTGTTGTGTAGAGGATATCTGACTAGAGTCAGTTTCTCACCCGGATAAGGGTCCAGTTTTTACAACTACTTGCTAACAATATAAAAACTCTTAAACGTTAAAAGGAATGTTACCAGGCAATCAGGTGCGTTTTCATCGCATTTTTCTGTATAGGTAACATGAAATTTGCTCTTTAACCACCTTGAATACAATTCAGTGGCATTGCTTACTTTCACAATGTCGTGCCACCTCAGCTACGTTTTTTCAAATCAGAAAAATGTTTTCACAACGATTACCTTTAATTAAATGTGCTCAGAACATCCATCGACAGCCTCCATTTCTAAGTCTTGATGGTTGATCGAGCCGATCTGCAACTAGGAGTGCGTTTGGAGTCGGAGACCGCCTCGTGCTCAGCTGGCGTTAGGGATCCCTGGGCGCAGTGCAGCCCTCTGCCCGGAGCTGCGCCGCGCAACTCGGTTGGGCGAGCCAGGGCGAACGGGACGCGGTGCAGGGACGCGCAGGGCCAGCGAGGGGAGCTGCAGGGTAACTTTTCCCAGGGAAAGCGGCCGGTCGTCCCCACTAGAAGCCACCCAGCCTTTTGTTTGTTTTCCTGCCGGAGGCTGGAAAACGACCGGGTTCCTGCTGCACTACCATGCGCCGTGCGGCCCGTGCGACTCGCCGGACCTCGCGGGCGTCCCGGCACGGAGCCCTCGGCCGGTCCTAGCAGGGATTGTCCCCATTTCCAGTTCCCGAGCGGGCTGCTGCGCCCGGCTCGTCGAGGAGCAGCGCTCACCGCAGGGGCGGGCCCCCGCCTGTGTTCGCGGCGCCAGTAAGTGGGGCTCGGGGATTTAGGGGCTTCTGCCTGGCGACCTGTCACTTTAGTAGCTGCTGGGCGGGGGTGGCCGGGGGACCCCTGGCCGGTGGCCCCGCGACGGATCGGAGGCGCAGGAAGAGGCTAATGGGTTACAGTTTCTTTCCGCGATCATGTGGGTCTCTCCTTCCTGGCATGAAAACTCGGAGCCTGGAGGATTTTGATGGGTGTTTACCTTTTAGTCTTAAAGAGGGGGAAGACCCTAGCCAATTTGAAGCCTCTTTGCGGGGCACGTTGAGGACTTGCTCTTGGAATTTCCCTGACTAGGCCCTTGGCTGTCCCACAAGGGGTCTGAGCAAAAATCCTCGTATACTTATTTGCAACCATTTTTTATTGGATTTCTTTCTGCTCTGATTTCTTTCTTATTAATCTGAGTAGCTGTTATGAGAAGGATGTTGAAGGATTTTCTGTAACAACTGATTCTTTGTAATGTTAACCTTTTAAAGTTTGACTTTGACACTAACATTAAGGACTTACATGTAAGGTAGCTAATGCATCATTCTGCAGAGAAGAGTAGTCCTTTCCCCTTATAACTAAATAAGACCTGCTTTTGCTGGAGTTGGGCTAGGCTCAGGGAATTCCACACTGAATTTGACAAGCGGGACTGGATTTCTCTAAGGTATAAGGTATTGGGGCTTGTGGGTTTTGTTTTGTTTTGTTTTGTTTTATTTTGTTTTTTTTGGCCGGGAGCACTCTTTGTAGTAACAGAAGTTTGATAGTTACAGTTTTCATTTCTCACATTTCCCAGTGAGTGGGGGTTCAGGGTATGCTTCAATAGTGAATGGCACCATTGCCGAATATAAAGTTTAAATGAGCTTTAAATTTCTGTAGCCAATATATGAATTATTAAGAATTTGTGTCTCAATCATATGCTGAACTGTGCTGGGACTTAATATATGCATAAATATGCACATTTGAAATAGTTTCTGGACAATATGCTACAATGTGGTAATGACTCTTTAAGGCTTTCCTATATGCTTGAGGACCAGGAATTGTAAAACACTAGGAAGTAGGTGTAGAAAGGAAAGCAGTACTGGGATCCTTTATTTAAAATGACATCTTGTACCATTCCCCACTCTCTAAGTGACTCTGCCCACTTTTTATTTCTCTCTTTTCACTTTGCCTTGTCCCCTTCTCCAAAGTCAAAACTGGTGGCCAGGCAGCAGGGAGGCAGCCACATTTCCTAATGAAACCAGTCTAGGTTCAGATCGTGAAGGGGTACGCTGGAGGGTTGATGGAGCCTGTCTGGTTAGGCAGACCCCTGCTGTCCTTGCCAAGGGAACTCAGCATTTAATCACAAAGAAAAGGTCTTTTCACTGAAGTTTCTTCTCCACAGACTAAGTATAAATGAGCTACTAGGACACCAAACAGGCCATTTAGGAGTTTTATTTATTGACTGTTCGATATCATCAGAGCTCTTTTTATGCTTTAATGTTTGTTATTCTCATTGCTTTTCGAGGTTCTTAGTACGGTGGAAATTATGTTAATGTTGAAACATTGGAATTATCTTTAACCATATTTTCCTTCATTTCCTTCATCCTCTATATCAATGAGTCAAGACCTTTGAAATATGTTTTATATAGATCCCTCC